ATATATGGCAAGGAAGGAGTTATTTATTTTTTTCATTAGAAGATACTGTGTTCCTTTCAAGCAGGCCCAACTTAACGTTTTGGAGACACTCCAGAGAACTGCATTAACTTAAATGACATTCAATGTTTGTTTCAGCTGCCTGCCTGGTTTATTCAGCTTCTTCTTCCTTATCTGTCTCCCCTTCTTCTTTCCTGTTGTTCTACTGCTTGCTCTCTCTTTCCTTCTCTTTCTTTTATTCATTTATCAAAATTTTCTGTAGTGCCTACCAAGAGCCAGACACCATTCTAGGCATTGGGAATACAGCAGTTAACAAAAAAAAAGTATCTGTTCTCATGGACATTATATTCAATAAGGGGAAAACAGACAATAGATGAGAAAACAGACAAATATGTAATATGACCATTGGTCTAAGTGTTAAGAAATAGAAAGCAAGGTAAAGAGACAGAGAGTGAGAAGGATGGGGGATGTGTATATGCTAGTTTAGATCAAGAAAGGCCTCTTTGATAATGTAACATTTGAGCAGAGACCTGAACTTGATAAGGGAACTAGTCATCTACAAATTTGGGAAAAGAGAATTCTTGGCAAAGGGAATGACAAAGGTAGAGGCTCTGAGATCAGGACAGCAAAGAGACCAGGGTGGTTGGGGTGGAGTGAGAAAGATAGAGAGAGCTAGAAGATGAGATCAGAGAAATGGAGGGAATACCATATAGGGCAAATCAGGAAGGGCCTTGTAGGGTGTGGCAGAACATTGTATATTATTCTGAGTAAGATGGGAACACACTGGAAATTTGGAATAAAGAAGTGACATGAACTACTACAAGGAGAATAAGGTAGAAAAGAAAAACAGGGCAATTGTGTATTAGGGAGACCTGTTAGGAGGCCATGGCAATAGCGTTGGTGACAGGAAATGGAAGGTTAGTCTATGATAGTAGGAATTAGATGTTCTTTGATTCTGGATATGCTATAAGGTAGGGTCTACAGAATATGCTAATAAATTGCTTGTAGAGTGAAAGAGGAAGAAGCAAGTTGCAGGGAACTCGAAGGTTTATGTTCTGAGTAACTGACAGAATGGCCTTTTAATTAATGGGAGGAGAAATTATAAAAGGAATAGATTAAGGGAGATGGGGAATCAAGACTTCAGAATGAGATACAGTAGATTCAACATCCAACTCTATGGAGTTGAAGAGAGGCCAGATAGAAAGATAAAATTCTGAGATGTCAGCATACCATATAGATGGTAATAAAAGTGATGGAACAAGATTATATCTCATTTTAGTGAAGGGAGATAGAGAAAAGAAGAGGTCCACGGACAGAGTCTGGAGCATTCCAAATATACAAGTCTTAAGGATGAGAGAAGTCAGTAAACAAAACTGAGAAGGATGTTGGGAGAACATTCTTTCAGGGATCACTGTCCTTCACTGCGTGATGTCCAGTGTCTTGTGTTTCTTGGTTGTTCAGTTGGAGGGATAAATCTTGCTCCTATAAGTCTATCTTTATAAGACACAGAAGTCATGTCTTCGTATTTAAAGCGCATCTCTTTTGAAAATAATGTATTTTGTTTCTGCTTTTGTTTAATCTAGTTGAACATCTCTGCCTTTTAGTTGGATTGTCCTTGTCAGAAGTATAGTTTGCTAATATTTTCTCACAGTTCGTGGGTTGTCTATTGTTTCCTTTGCTGCACAGAAGCTTTTTAGTTTGATCCAATCCATTTGTTTATTTTAGTTTTTCTGCCTGTGTTTTTGGGCTTATATCTAAGAAATCTTTGCCCAGACCATTGTCATGGAGCATTTCCACTATTTTCTTCTGGCAGTTTTATAGGTTCAGATCTTATGTTTAAGTCTTTAATCCATTTTGAGTTGATTTGCGTATGGTGTGAGATAAGGGTTTAATTTCATTCTTCTGCTTGTGGGTATCCAGTCGTCCCAGAACCAGTTATTGAAGATACTTTCCTTTCTCCATTGTGCGTTCTTGGCGCCTTTGCTAAAATTCAATTGACTTTAAATACACTCGTTTATTTCTGGGCTCTCTATCTTGTTTCATTGGTCAATGTGTCTGTTTTTGCGCAAGTACCATGCTGTTTTCATTACTATAAATTTGTAATAGATTTTGAAGTCAGGTAATGTGTTGCCTCCAGAATTCATATGTTTCTAAAAATTTAAGAAGAATCAAAGTCATTTACATACACCTAGAAACTTACTATTTCTTATATTTCTCATTCTTACCTAAGGATATGTGTTTCCCTCTGCTATTATTTTAGTTCAGCTGAGAAATTTTCTTTAGTATTTCTTATAGTTTAAATCTGTTTGTGATGAAGTCTCCTAATTTTGTTTTTTTTGAAAACTTTTTCTTGGCTTTGATTTTTTGAAAGATAGTTTTGCTGTACATAGAAATCTGTGTTAATTTATTTTTCTACACACTTAAAAAATATCTCAATGTCTTTGTTCCTTTATTATTTCTGATAAGAAGTCAGCAGTCATTTAAATTATTGTTTACATGTATGTAATGTATAATTTTTCTTCCTAGGGTTGTTATAAAATATATTTGTAAATTCTCCAATATTCCTTACTTCAAAAAGTAGAGCCAAATTTTTCTCCTCTTGAATATGGTTCTGACTTAGAGACTTGATGGTAATGGAACAGAAAGTGGTGATATGTGACTTTCCAACCAGTTAATAAAAATGTGGCTTAAGGCACAAATAAAGAGCTTCTCTCTGGCTCTCTCTTTATTTCTCTCCTCTGTTCTGAGAGAGGCCAGCCACTTTATTATAAAGGCACTCAAGCAGTACTAGGAAAGTGTCCACATAGAGAAGAACTGAGGCCTTGCACCAAGCAGCAGCACCAATTGCCAGCTATATGAGTGATTCACCTTGCAAGCAGATCTTCCAGGTCCAATCACATCCAGCTTCAGAAGACTGGTAGACCATAACCTAAGCTGTTCCCAAATCCCTTGACACAGAAACTGTGAAAGATAATAATTTTTTTAAACCATTGAACTTTGGAGTAATTTGTTATGCAGCGATGAATAACTAATGTATTTCCTAACTCAAATGTCTGTGCATGTTATATTCACCCCAGCTCTCCAATTTTTCAATCCACTTTGCCTGTGTAAAAGAAAAAAATTATCATAAAATTCAAGGTGCACCACAGCTGAAAAATCAATCTATGGAAGAAAATTACTAATTTGTGGTAAAACCATTCTATTTTAAAAACACCATTTTGTGTCTTTGGTTTACCATTGTAAGCCTGAATACCTTGTATAATACTGCACTATTCACTGTTGAATTAAATTGAACTTAACTGAAATACTTGTTGAAGTAAATGATCTGGAAATGGAAGTGAAAAATCATGGCAGGAAATTCATTTTAAACATTTATGTTGTACATTGACTAGTGCTCATTTTCAAGCCCCATCAACCTATCACTGAAAAACAAACAAAAAATCCTAAATTTATATGCTGTTGGTTCATGGTAGACCATATGGATTTTTATAATTTCTGCCTATAGAACACATCTTCAAATGTTTCTAGGAAATCTTTATGAAGCAATATACAATGATAGGTATTTTCCTGTGCTTAGGTTGTAAACTATTGTAATGTGTTGCAATGTACTTGGCACGTTATTTGCAGAGGCCTGATATCTGTATTCCTCCTCATCTAATCAAACTTTACACCATTTCAGTATACCTGAATTTTATGAGCATAGTGAGTTTGAACAGTCACTCATTTACTAATACAACATGTAAATCGAGCAATTCTCTTCCTCTTTGGGAGGTGGTGTATATCCAGGGTGTATCCCAGTGGTTTGGAGCACAAGCTGGACTTCTTAGGTGCAAATCCCCAGTGGACCACTTACCAGCTTTGTGCCCTTTGGCGTATATCTTAACCTCTTGCCTTACTTTCCCCATCTGTAAAATACAAAACTAATAGTACCCACCTTACAGGATTGTTGTGAAGATTAAATACATGAAAACTGCCTGGCACATAGTAAGTACTAATAAAAATGAGCTCTTATTGCCTTCCATACCTACCATGGACTATGAAACATTGCAGATGACTTGTAACTTTTTGAATGAATGAATAACTCTAGGGTGAGAGTACTGTAGGAACATCTCTGCCACTGTTTTCTTTTTCTTTTTCTTTTTCTTTTTGTAATTGCATTCTATGATCACGCAAAAGTTTCAATTATTCACTTCTTTTTGGAAATTGTCTACTAGATCAAAAAGAGCCAGTAGAATATGTTCATTGAAAAAGGACATGCAAATAATATTGATACATGATTCCACCGAATTGAGAATTACAAAATAAGATACTTTGGGGTAGGATAAATTTTCATTTTAACACCTCATAAACGTGGACATGGGAGAAAGGAGTCAAGCATAGAAACGAGCATTGGGATTCAGAATCCGGGGCACGTGTTATTGCATTTGGAGAAAGACCATTTTAACTGGCCACACACAACCAAGCTACTCCCCATTGACTGTGGGCAATACCTGAGGAAAGATGAGAGGTCTAATCAGTCTTTACATCCTCAAAACTTGGCAAAGTGCCTGGCAGATACTACAGTCAGAAAAGAAATTGTTTTCAAGGAATGAAGTATTAAATAACCAAAGCAACTGTGTCAAAATATTCCACCTTTGGTCCCAAACCTTCCACCTGTACCTCGACTTCCACCTTCGTGGGCTGACAGCTCAGACCTCAAGTCTGCTTAGAAAGACTCTGACTTTCGCTCCAAGGATCAAGAAAAAAAATGACCCAGTTGCAACCTCTACTAGGAGTTACGGGAACCACCGCCTCCCTTTGTTGTAAAGAGAATGGAGAGGACAGTGATGGGGCTGGGAGCACAGTAGTATCTCTGAGTGGCTGAGCAGTGCCTGCGTCCCACTAGGCGGACGTCCTGCGGGCTCGGTTAATTACCCCCGCCCCGGCCTCGACCCGCCCTAATCCTCAAACTCCGAAACAAATCTTTAGCAAGAGCGCTGGAGGAGGGACCAGGGGTCTCCGCGATGGGCCTGGGAGATGCCGACCGCTGCAGAGAGAGAATTTCCTGGGGGCCCCATGGAATCCCAGGCAGAGCTGGGCTTTGGCTCCCACCCCTGCATCCCGCGCACAGCTTCCCCGGGGACGGCCAGAGCACCGATGTCCAGGGCAAGGCCCCCGCAGCCAGCCCGCGGCTGGAGGGCATCAGACGGCGGCTGGCGCGCTCCTTCCAGCGGGCGGTGCCACACTGGGGCTCGAGGCGCGCGCGGGAGGCGGCGGCGGCGGCGCTGGAGGAGCAGAGCCCGGCGCGCGTCGAGGGCGCCCTGGCCGGGCTGCGCGCGGAGCTGGTGAGAGCGCGGGCTGGGCGGCCGGCTCTCGGGGCGCCCCCTCCGTTGGTCCTCTGCTTGGGCTCCACAGCTTCTGGTCGCGTAACCCACCCGAGGACTTACTTGGGGAGGCCAAAGGGAGCTGTGCCCAGTGAAGGAGAGCTGGCCACTGACCACCGATCTTGCGGACGGGGTAGGACGGTGGGGGTGGCAGCTCGAGTCCGGACGCTGTGTTGACGCCTGCACCTCCCCAGCAACGTCAGGGAGGGAAGGGGACCCATCAGGGTCTAGTTTACCAGTGACACACTGAAGTCGTCCCCTTCCCAACCTGTTTCTATAGTTTTCTACCTGATAGGGAACTTTTACTATGGGTATGTGTGGAGCATGGAGGAAGGAATTTCAATGAAACAAACTCCTTTATGGGACTGATGGAGCGAGTCTATCGGCAACCCTTTCCTTACATCCCGCAGGTTTTCAGACAACTGGAAATAATAAGGTATTTTGTAAAATTGTAGCTTTTGAACATTAGACAGGTTAGGTCCGAACGTTAAACAGGAGGGAGTGTGGATAAATATTGTAGATGACTGTTTTTTAATTTAGAAAATTCCAAATTAGACATAAAAGGACAAAATGAATAGGAGCAATTAAGACTCTAAAAGGGTGCTGCCTATGAATGTGTGCAGTGGACACTTGGAAAAATCTCCTCTTTTGCACTGAACATTAATAAAATTAATCACAACTTTAGAATTGATCCAACTATTAATAAATTGTCTAAGAACCTTACTTTCTGAGTTTAGGAAGGACAATATGGTAGTAAATCTAATTTTACCCGTGTTAACAATCTGAATCTGACAAGGGATGCATTATATCTGATGCAACCATACTGAAGAAACACCTGGTTTTCATCCTGAGTCTAAGCAGCAGGGTAATGCACCCACCTGAGTAGACACCTGGAGGCCTCTGGTATGGGCCAGGATACCAAACCCAAAGGCTCAGACCTGGCTCTCCATGCTGCTGAGCTGGGATACATCAGTACCTCTTCTTGAGCTTCAGTTGACTCTCATTTAAATTAGGTGAAGAGATTATACTGAATAAGGACTGAGCCACCTTTCAACCTTAACATGTTGCTCCACCAATAGGAATTTTTGACAAGTAATTTGTTGAGGGTGGCAGAAGGTAGGGAATAAAATTCTAAACAGATGAGGGTTCAAATCCTAGCGTTACCACTTACAGGCTCTGCTAACACTTGCTGTTCCCACAACTTTGGGAATGTCAAGGAGCCAGTTTGAGTTTACTCATCTGTAAAATGGAGATTACGATAGTATAGCCTTGCTGTAAAGCTTATATGAAGTGCTTAGATTGCAGACATTATTTAATGGCTCTTGTTATTATGATAATGATTACTATAGATCTTGGAGGCTGTACCAAAAAGGAACAAATGTATACGTATCAAAAATCAAGGGTTTTTCTGGAAAGGAACCGGAGAATTTTATACATACCCAGATGCTGTCTTTTGGGTTACAGACCATGGTCAACATCTTGACCAATCTTGTCACCAGTATGTGGGACTGGTCATGAGGAAGAGCCAGAAGAATGTGGATACTTCAGCTTAATATCATCACCACTGCAAGAAGTAGTTTTTGATTATGGGCTATTAACCAGATTTTTATAGGAATTGGCATACATTCTTACACATATATGCATATATCATGTATTAGGATGTTATTTGTGTAAGGAACGATGATGAGCAAGTTCAATTAATTTAGAGTTGTGTTGTTACTTATACTATTTTCTATTGTTTGACTTGATCTTCTTAGTAAGATGCATTGATTTCCAGGGTCTGTGAATGGGTTTCAGGGTTTCTATATATCTAAAATGAAATGAAAAATTTTCTATGTGCATAAAGTTTAGATTTTCCTCAGAGGTTCATAGCTTTCATCATATTCTCAGAGGGATCCATGATGAAAGAAAAGTTAAAGAGCCATTGGTATTTTAATTTCCTAAATAAGCGTAAATTACACTTACTTAGATGGTAAATCATTATCAATACTTTTACTCTCTGATTCTTGGCCTAAAAGTGCAGGATGGATGTTCATCAGTTCATTCATTCATTCATTCATTCACTCAGTCTTTTAACAAACATACAGGGAACATACCAGGTTGTGTGCCCAGGCAGTGCATTCACAGTTGGGCATGGAATTATGAATAAGATACACACTCTGCCCTCAAAAATCATCAGTCTAGTCTAGTTTGAGTGTTGTGAGAGGCACATGTACAGAATGCCATGGAAACATAGATAAGAGATAATTATGTCTGCCCATGCAATCAGGGAAGGCTTCTTGGATTAGTTGGCATTTGACTGGGTTCAGCAGAAAGAGAGGTGACAAAGGGCATTTTAAACAGAGGGGTCAGAAGGAAATGTGGCTCAGGATGGGCAAGGTTTCTGACTGGCTGCAGTGGGAACTGACATGGGGAAGAGGGCTAGGAAGTGAGACTGGAAAAGTAGGGCAGGATTATAGAGCATCTGGGCCACGCTAGACACCTGAAGCTTCCTGTAGGCAAAGTGCATGGGCTTTTCGTGGTGGTGGTTGTGTGGGTGTTGTTACTGTTTGTTTGCTGTATGTTCATTTACTTTATTCTTTGCTAATTCTTGATGTCAGAGAAATGGTTCCAGGTGCTGAAGGACGAAGAAAAATGTCTCAGAGGAAAACCGAAGGATAATTTTATCCAAAAGCTTTATTTTTCAGATTAGGGGGTGACCACCAATATTTGTTTTTTACCAACACACTGCCCAGGTTCATCCTGGGGTGGTTTCTATTGACAAATTTATGAAGGGTTTTAAGCAGAGAACACAAATTCCTCATGAACTGCATTAAACAAGATCCTAATTGAAGAATTTACAAGTAGTTGATCAGTTTTCAGCTATAATACAAAGATTATATTGGACTAAGCTTTTTTGGACTGCCACTAGGTAACATGCCCTGGAGGTCTATTTTTTTTTTTTTAACACACGAGGACTTTCATAAACTCCCATTGAAGGAAGGTATAAATCAGCCTTGCTATACAACAGATTTCACTCCAGAGTGAAAAGTGTTAGATTATATAAGTACACATAACTGTACATGTGCCTCTAAGGTGTCGTTAAATGTTTTTGCTTGGCAGGGAGACCATTTAATATCCTGAAAACTTGAAATGACAAGTAATCAAGTAAATGGGCAACGATCTTGAATACTCAGGTGGCTGTAGGCAGTTATCCTGTGGCTCAGAAAACTCATAAAGATAAATTATTTCGTCGTGGGTCACATGCCGTTGCTTGAAAACAGCCTTCAGTGCGTAGCTATTTTTCATATGGACAACTTTGTGCCTCAGCTAGTTTTGTTTTCATTTCAAGGCCATTTCAAAAGCTATTTATGTATCTGGCTTTTACCTTGTCGTGTGGAAAGTCAGTTTTATAGCCAGGCCAAACAGAACTGGAGAGTAAGATGAGAAATGCATCTTTCTTGATATCTTATTTTCCTTTCCTACAAACTCCTTATTTCTTCTGTGTAGAGAGTGGTTTCATTTGATCTGTATCTCAGGCTAATAAAATTCCTTTTTTTCTTTTTTATATGTTTTTAGCTGGAAATGCATTTCCAAAGCCACCAGCTGGCTAGAACTTTACCGGACCTAAACGTGAAAACGCAGCAATGGAAAAGGGAGTATGAACTGGAAATCACATCAGAATCTCAAAGCCTGAAAGATAATGCCATGAATCCAGAATAAGGAAATGCATACTCGAAGATCTGAATTCTAAAAATAACAGACAACTCTGAAACAATTCTGACAGTAACATTATGGATGCTTTACATAAGCTTTGAGGGGGAATTTGTAGATCAAAAACTTAGAGTTGCCAAGGGGAAGTAACGAAAAACACCCGAGAGATGGGGTGAGAAAATGGTGTGTTATTGAGTTTCAAAGTTATTTATTCATTGTTTTGACTGGGACATAAAAGTAAAAAAAAAAGTATCCAAGTGTGCCTTAATGCCAACTTCTAGTATTCCATCTTGAGTCACCTTACCTTACTGGCTTTGCTTGAACTTGCAGAATCTGTGCTTGTTTTTGTTTTATTTTATTATTTATCCTTGGTTTGTCCAGTAGCTGTTCAGTATCTCCCCACCCCTCCTTTTTGGGAGACTTATTTCTACCTGGATTCCAACCATGCCCTTTAGGTAGTCTGCCATTAAGGGTGCCCCACCTTCCCAAATGTAGTCATACAGGTCAAGGCAGCAGGTCAATTTGCCCTCTGGATATTTTGAACTGGCCCTAAGGGAGTAGATGACTATTTCCTGCTGGTAGAAGCTGTGGAACAAGGGGCTTGGAAGCTGCTGGTGTCCACCATGTGAGAAAGCCCAGCCTCTTAATAAAGCAGGTGGAAACTAAACCACTGAATGCACAAAAGAGAAGGGAGGGTGCTGCTGTTCCTTGTCCCTGGGGGACAAGCTGTATAAAACTCCAGTCCTTGCTGTTGTTTACATACATGAAATAGTCTGGTATCCTTCTCATAAAATCTCCTTGTGCCTAAGTTAATTCAAGTTAGAGTTTCTTGACTTGTATCCGAAAAGTTCCTAATACAATTGTTCAGTTTTTAGGAGTTAAAATGGTTCTTATTGTTGAATTAGGTATCTAACTGTACCCTAAAAATGCTGTCTTTTTAACACAGAAAATAAAAAGTTAATAAAAAAGTCGTAGATCTAAGTTATATTAATAATGGTTATTGTCTGTAAAAGTAAAAATTAATTTATAACAATTATGTTATTTTAATATTTGATGAACAATAAACATTAGTTCTTGAAGACAAAGGAGAAACAAGGGATATGGTCTTTCTCTTTTTAAAATAAATGTAAGTTGTTTTATGTGTGTGAGGATCTGAGAATTACCTGGACCAAGTTTACTTTGTAATTAACTTTTTCTCCACAATAAGTAAATTATTATAGCCCATTAGTATGTAATTTCTTCCCTCTGTAAAACTGAGGTATTACCATTTTCAACGTATAGGACACTGTCAGATGAGCAGCAGGCGGCATCCTGATGTCTAATTCCTGGGTTCCTTAAGATATTCTGCATATGAGCTCTTGGCCTATGTGACTAATATATTAAAAGTATGTGTGAAATAGATTTCCTGTTTATTTCTTTTTAAAAAATTTTATAGAACTTTTGAGCAAAGAGTTGGCAGAGTAACTTGTGATCTGTTTTTTGAAAAGGCTTCTACTTAAATGCTGGGACAATCATTCTCAAGTACATTTTAAAGGTTAATATTTGTCAATCATTGTGATTTTGTGCTTAGAAAATACTCGAGGTGAGTTTTGTATAAGCTCAATTCCTTACAGAATACATATTACTGACACTAGTTAATATTCATGTAACTCATTTGATTATATTGTTAATGTACTATATTTGGGGATCAAAAGAAAGAAAACTGAAAAGAGAACTTCTGAAAATGGATGCATTGTTTTGCACATTTTCAGATTAAAAAATGTCCACTATTTTATTGCAAAGTTTTTGTTGCCCCTTCCCGCCCCCATCTTTCAGTGATAAGCTTTGGATCACTGTATCAGTTAGGGGTGACAGATACAGAAACAGAATAAGAAACTATTTGTTTCGAAAGTATCTTATTTACAGAAGCCCTAATCAGCAGAGTTGTCCTGTGATATTAGCTGTGCCATATGGAAATACAATGGGAGGTTGATACATGGGATGCTATATTTATTAAATATTTTTGCTTTGTTTTCACTCTAGTACGATATTCTTCACTTTTTTAAGTGGCAGAAACCACATGACAGTTTGCGTATTTTTCTTTGCCATGGCGCTCAGCTGCTGGTCGTTAGCTGCTGGCCTGTCATCCTGTCAGCTGGGGCTCACAAGGAATCAGTGAGAAACTTTGCTGAGGGACGTGAGGATGCGCCAGCAATGGTTACATTTCCCCTCTTTCTAGGGCTTTTAAATAAGCTAGAGCAACAGTGTGACATTTTAGAGATATATGAGACGGAAGGAACCAAACTGCTGCCAGCTGGAGGGGAAAATGAGAAAATAATTATAACCTAAATTCTGCATCAGGGAAGCAGTAACTGGGTAAGCCGAAGAAAGCAGGGTGTTCATAACAATAGTGGATAGAGAGGGCCAAAAGAAGAGGTACTAAAAACAGTTTTGTGAGGAAAATATAGTGTTTGAGTATTTCAAATGACACAATTTCTCACAGCTTTAATTATGGGGGGATAAAACCCATGCTAGCAGGAAATGGGCTTTCGCCATATGGTACTTGTTTAGCACCTACCAGTGAATAGGTGCCAAATTAATTATGACAATTAGGAGCCTTGCATAGGTTGTTAAGCGTTAAATTCCTTTACAGGTGGCCTGGATGAATCCGCATTTTGTTTGGCTTGCCAAATGACTTCTGCTGTAACAGGTGCTTCTGCAGCTCCCAGCCTGGGGACAGATCCGAGTCTTGCTGTGGGTAACCCCATGATGGCTGAGCCTGCACCAGTATAATTACAAGAATCCTATCTCCCCCTGGTCCCTTTTGCTGGCAGGGCCCAGGGCCCAGGGCCCGGGCGTAGCCGTCAGTTGTGTTTATTTACTGGTGTAATCACTGCCAGCGTCCCTGAGCGTTTGGAGCCTGGCATGAGGCCCTCCAGTGCCAGCTGCTTTCTCTCTTGGTTGCTTTCGTTGTTGCTGCCATTGCTGCTGCCTCTTTTGCCTTTTTGGCCCTGTTATTATTATGTTATTAAGTGTGAAATGTCCGATTTCCTTAAGTACTAAGTTTGACAGTTGATATCTCTGACATTTCACTTTGACACTTCTTGTTTTATTTTTATTGTGAAGATATATCCTCAGTCTTTTTTTAATTTCAGCATATTACAGGGGTACAAATGTTTAGGTTACATATATTGCCTTTGCCCCACCTGAGTCATAGCTTCAAGCTTCCGTCCCCTAGACAGTGCACACTGCACCCATTAGGTGTGAATATACCCATCCCCTCCTTCACCCTCACTCCTGCCCAACACCCGATGAATGTTATTACTGTATGTGCACATAAGTGTTGTTCAGTTAAGTCAGTTAATACTAATTTGATGGTGAGTACACGTGGTGCTTGTTTTTCCGTTCTTGTGATACTTAGGTAGAATGGGTCCAGCTCTATCCAGGATAATACAAGAGGTGTTAGTTGACCATTGTCTTTTGTGGCTGAGTAGAACTCCATGGTATACATACACCACATTTTATTAATCCACTCATGTATTGATGGGCACTTGGGTTGTTTCCGCATCTTTGCAATTGTGAATTGTGCTGCTATAAACATTCGAGTGCAGATGTCTTTTTTATAGAATTTCTTTTTTTCCTTTGGGTAGATGCCCAGTAATGGGGTTGTTGGATCAAATGGTAATTCTGCTTGTAGCTCTTTGAGGT